AGATCGCTATCACTGGGACGGCAAAATAGTGCCAGAGCCTCAGCCTTTGACAATCGTCGCGACGTTGCTTCACGAAATAAGGACAACGTCCCAGCACCCTGCCAACTGGACCCTACAATAATTGCTCTTCTCAAGAAAAAAGTTTTACTATTGAGGGATTCTGAAAAACACCACTCGAGCATGGTGCTACACAATGGCTAGACGACCCCTATTTGACCTGCTTTCTCGTAATCTAGAAATCCATAATTTTACTGAAGTTGATCTTTCTGCTCGACTTAAAAGAGTTATTGGCATGGGACTTAAGTTTAGACCAACCCTCAAGCCACCGACTGTCGAACAATTTGATCTACAGATACAAGATTTTTTGTCGAAGTGTTCGCCTTCATGATCGTTACCGAAACATTCAACAGGATCCAAACTTCAATCCTCGTCTATATGTTCGCTCTGCCTGGTGCCCTCCCAGGGAAAACCCCGATCTTGAGGACAAGCTCTTCGAAATACGCAAGAAACTCAAGACCTGCTTTGTTGCAAATTCGCCTCATTGGAAACATAACTTGACCTACCGAGACAAGGTTGAATTGCAAGCACTTAAGAATAACACCATTGTTAGACTTTTGTCTGCGGATAAAAACCTTGGCCCAACATTAGTCTCTGCAGATTGGGTTAAAAAGGAAACCCTGCGACATTTGCATGATGAGTCTTCATATTCTCGTGTTACAGTTGACGATTGGAATACAAGCCGTCAAAAGGTAATCCAGTCACGCGAGAGACTATGAACACTTATAAGTAGTTTATTACTCAAAATGCTAAGCGTTTTTTGCGTAGTAACGATCATTGTATAGATCCAGCTAAATTTTATATTTTACCTAAGATCCATAAGAATCCTATGGTTGGCAGGCCCATCGCGGCCTCACACTCTTATATTACABGTACTATCAGTATATTTGTAGATGAACTTACTAAGCCTAGGATTTCTATGCCCACAGTTCTTAGAGATTCTGACGAGCAAATTTGGAACCTCTCGAGTTACGTCATAAATCATGCTTTCTAGTCACTGCGGACGTTATCTCACTCTATCCTAATGTTGACACTAAGAAAGCGTTGATTGCCCTCGATCACCTCCTTCGAGAGGCCCGAGCACTCGATACTCCTATTTTGATTCAACTCGCTAGGCTAATTTTTGAAAACAACTTTCTTAAAACAGAATTTAGCTCTGATATTTTTCATCAAAGTTTTGGTATTGCAATGGGCACTCCTTTCGCGGTTACCGCCGCTAGTGCGTTTATGTTCTATCTTGAGAAGGACATAATTTCGSAATACTCGGAGCATTTTTTGGTTTATAAGCGTTTTATAGATGATATTTTCTTCATCTGGACRGGCTCAAGGAACTACTTATTGCAATTCCTAAACAATCTTAACTCTGCCAATGATCGTATCAAGCTTACTTTTGACATTAGCGAGACCAGCATATSATTTTTAGATCTGCTTATTTACAAAGATAACACTAAGTGTAGACTACTAGTTTCCACATATCAGAAACCCCTTAACAAGTATCTGTATATACCTTTAGAGTCATTCCATCCCACCAGTAATAAAAAGGCTTTCATTAAAGGAGAGCTTACACGGTACATTAGAAATAATTCTACTTTTGCCTCCTTTAAGGCTATTAGGGATAACTTTTGGAAAAGACTTAGAGTCCGGGGTTACCCTTACAGCTTTCTTTTGCCTTTATTCAGGGAGATCAGATACACTTATCGGTCTAAATGGCTCAAACGTATAAATCGTTGAAAACGCATAACTAGTATAAATAGACCTATCATTTTTAAGACTACTTACAACTGTAGTCACACTCGCATTAAGCGTGTTATCAACAGTATTATGCCAGAACTTGATTGTGTGGTTTGTTACAAATCCACCACTAATCTCGCAAAACTATGTTAAAAAAATTTTTGGGGTCCGTGAGTTTAGCGCTAAACTCACGGACCCCAAAACCACTTAACTTAAAACCACTCCCATACTATTATGGTGTAGTGGTTATTTAGTTATTCACGTATATCCTGTTCCGCCAGATAGCATTCCTCAGTTATCTCGCCCATGTAGAACACTATATATACAATAGCTATAAACTCTTGTAAACTATCCCTGATGAAGACTGTGTACACAGTCGAAACGCGTAGGATAATAAAGTTTACTAAAGTTTACACTCCGTGCTGCTCACTAGTTATTTTTCAAAAAAAGGATAATAAAGTTTACTAAAGTTTACACTCCGTGCTGCTCACTAGTTATTTTTCAAAAAATTGTTCAAAAAATTACTGGAGCAGAATGGTGCGATTTCATTGGCTATACAAAGGTTGTACTTTATGTACAGAGAATAAGAAATGAAGATTTTTGGGATGAGTTAAAATCAAAACTACATGGATACTATTTTGAACATTTTATTAAGTATGCTTCAGCTTCATCGTAAACTAATATACTAAGGGTTTATGATGTACTGTTTGTTATAGAAAATGTGCATAATTTAGTAATACTTCATACTAATAGACTTTGATACAAAAGTACTTCAAATCTCTTGATAAATATAGAAATGTAGTTTTATAGTATAAACTTATATTGTTGTCAATGGTTATATGTGTTCTAAGTGAACACTGTTGGTTTGTTTTTTATAAAACTACCTAATTGGAGTCATTTCTCTGCCAAAATGTTTTGTATCAATTGTGTATCAATTGAATCCTGAGTCCAKCAATTTCTTGTGTCTTWATGACGTCCTCAGAAGACATCTGTGCTGAGCTTCCAAGAAAGGAGGGTAAATTTAGGGATACATCTAAAGGTACAATATCTTCTATGGTGAAACCTTTGTCAGCCATTACTGAGTCATTGTTGTCAAAGGGTAGATCCAAGAAACCACTTCTCATCAAAATTTCTCGGTCAGAAATACTGCCAGTGTACAATTGACTTACAAAAGTAAAAGTTCCACCAGGTGAAATACAAATCAAGCCTTTCAATGTCGTGTGATTTTTGTAGCTACTGAAAAGTTCTCCATTCAATTGAAGGCTGCTTGGCATTTGGCACTTAATCTCAGTACAATCGGTGATCACTCTAGTCGATGCATATTTCTTAATGAAATCTTCAGGCATAGTACTGTCAACTGCCTGTCGTGATAGCCATATATTCACAGCGCCTAGCTTCAAAAACATGAAGTTAAGCCACGTAATGAACGTTCTACTCACAGTTGACAAGGATATGTCAAACAAATGAGCTAGATGTTGTTCAGGAAATCCTTGCCTAAGACGACACATTACTAAAAAATACTCTTGTAAAGGATTTAGTGTCCTTGGTCTTCCTCCTCTGTCTTTATCTATTTCACCAGTAGAAACATTTGTGTTAGATGCATTCCAGTACCTAATATTTTCCCCTTTTTGGCCTGGTTTAAGATATCTGTAGATGACTATAAACGCGTCCCAATTCTCGAACCCGGTATAAAAATGTGCCGCTTTATCGTCTGACATTAAGTTATCGAGCGAAAAAAGTTTTAGCTGAAGCTTTCCATTGTTTTCTTCTAATTCTTTCACTTGTTTTTGAAGTTCATTTAGTTCTCTCTCGATAACTTAAATCTTCTCACCTCTAATTGTGATCTCTCTGACAATGGCTTCGAACTCGTTTGCATCGCAATCAGTCTGAGTGGCAATGTCGACAAATATTAATGGA